TCTGTCCAGACAACTCTTCTTGGCCTAAGAAATGAGGAAACTGGGCTGTGGATCTAGCTCAGGGGTTCTGCCACCTGCTTTGTAAGTGCAAGGTCCTAAGTTTGATCCCTGGTACAAAAAGAAAAAAAAAAAAAAAAGAAAGTATGAACATGGGATCCATTGATCATATCCCATATCTCAGTTTGCAGAAGCTACTATTGGATAAAGTATTGGAATGGCTAGTTAAAGATCCAGCTGAAGTGGTAGCATGGGGTGACACAGTACAATGAAGACATCCTCTAGGACATGATGAGGCATGCCTTGAGTCAGATAATATTCTATATGGTGCTATATCCCCACCAGAAAGAATACGTGGGTCTATTATATGTGGGTCTTTAAAGATTGTGTGGAAATGCAAGTCACTCCACTTAACATCGTTGCAATTACTCATTGAGTGTTCCTGTTCCCACAGCTCTGGACTCTGCAGAGTTAGAGGTCTACTTGCTCCGAGACAGAGGAAGATTCAGTTGGACTACAAATGATGGCTGCTTCTAGGTGCTTGAGCCTCCTGTGGTCAAAGACTAGCAGGTAAGAAAAGAAACAGTCCTCTTTTGAGAAGTAACTGATGCTGATCAGCCAAAGGAGCTAGGGCTAGAAGTACCCAACAGGGCAGGGTGGAATACGCGTGGAATTCGAGTGATCTATTTGGGTATCTCTTCGTGCCCCTTTGCCCAAACGTGACTGTGAATGGACAAGAGCAGCAACCTGGCTTGTGCTCAGACCCCGTAGGAATGAGGATCGAGGCACCTACCCTGGTGAGCTGCTAAGATCCACTGAGGTTGGAGCTAACAGTGAGAGGAATTAGAATAGATAGTGGAGGTATGTGAAGAGGACCAGCTGTGGCCTTGAGACCAACTGCAGTGACAGGGGCCACACTATTAACTTCCCTCTTCTAAGCTTTCTTACAGGAAGAACAGTTTTGAAAGAGCTGTTTCCTGCATACAAATGCAGAAAAGTATCCACGTGATACAAGGATAGACTCCAGCTCACAGTGTGTCACTCAGGTTGCCTTTCTTTTTTTTGAGTTTTAAAAATAATTTTTATTTTTTTAAAAGTTAATATATGTAGGGGCCAGGGATTTGGCTCAGTGGTTCCACTGCCTGCCTTGCAAGTGCAAGGGCCCAAGTTAGATCCCCGGTACCCAAAAAACAAACAAACGAACAAAAAAAATTAATATATGTATTACAGGAAACAAAAACACAAGAAGCAAAGAACAATGTCATTCTCAATCATAAGCAGCTTAGCTGGATGTGTTCTTTTAGGTCCTGCATGTACATATATGACTATATGGCATGCCATTTTGTGATTGTACAGTGTGTGTCATGCTTTTTACACATCATGAATATTTATCAATTCAAAATCCCAAAGCTACAAGAGTATTTTCAGGTTTTTTTTTTTTTTTGGTACAGGGGATTGAACTCGGATCCTTGCACTTGCAAGGCAGGCGGTGGAACCACTGAGCTAAATCCCCGGCCCCTACAAGAGTATTTTTGATAACTAAGAACACACTACAACACAGGTTGCCTTTCAAGCCAAGGCTTGCTGCCCAGCTTCAGCCTGCAGGAATATGCTAAGCTGACAGCCCGGAGATTTAGCTCCTTCTGGATCTGTCCCAGTGTTCCATCTAAAGTCCTGTAAGTCCCTGTTAGCCCCCACCAATGACAGTAAACCGGGGGTACAAGGGCCTCGCCTTTTCTGCCCAGAGCTGCATTCCAGCTCCAGAGCTCCTTTGTGGGCTGGCAAAGACTTTGTTACATTTGCACGGAAATCTGACAGCATCCCCGGTCCCATAGTGTCTTCTCCCTTGAGAGCACTCTTAATTCCTCTCTCTCTCTGCTCTCTCAATTCCATGTCAGTATCTCCTTCTTGAGAAGCTGGACTATGACAGCACCTATTTCAAAAATTCCCTAAAGGTCTCCTTTGTCCTCCCTTCCTACAACTCATATTGCTTTCCATGACTTTTGTCTCTCTGTACTTCCAAGCACTTTCTCTCATCAGGACTCTTCGAATCTCCTACAGCATTAGCCACAGATCCCTGTGCTCCTTGACTGCAAGGATGGTTTCTTAGGCTTCTGCATGTTCATAGTAGACTGTTTAATGTAAGCTAAATAAACACATTAAACTTCATCAATTTAATAATACCAGGTCCCTGGGAACTGACAGACCATAATCAAGGCCAAGTGGATTAAAGAAGCATCAGCCAGAAACAACAAGTCAGAGGATACTACACCGGCCCCAGCTTTGGCTGGTTTTCTCACCACAGTACTCTATTCCTGAAAGATTCATTCATTTCCTGCCAATCAGCACACTGAGAAGTCCCATTATGTTTTCAAAGACTTTTAAATTTGGCAGATAGATATTACTGACATCCTCATCACTTAGAGACCACCATAGGGACAAAGGACAAACTCCTGGCCCTGTAACCACTTACTCATTAAAAGCACTGCTTGTGTTTTCTTTTGTGGTACTCAGAGACTTAAAAGCATTTTTTTTTTTTTTTTTTGCTATAACATGTGACTTTTCACTTGGGCCTACAATGAAAGTAGGTAACTATAAGTGGAACAAAGCTTGACCTTCATTTTGTAAAACTCTGGGTTAAATTCTTCTCAGCTCTGTGTATACATGTTAGTCATTTAAGGAATGTCTGCCTCAAAGTCAGCAGAACAAAGTTTACTAGCCCTAAGTTTGCCTAGCTTATGCCATCTCCCTTTAAAACAGAAGACACTGAATGTAATTTCCGGGATTCACAGGAACTTCTGATTATCAGTGTTTACAATGTCCAGTTTCAGATCTTCTCCCTGGAACAACTGTTTAGAAGTCTCGAGCGATTGTCCTAAACCTGTGGTCACCTGGATTTCAGGAATGGCAGAGCCTCACGTGACAGACTACCCCAAGCAGAAATAATCATTTCATGGGAATGGAGTCATCCCGCAAGCCAGGAGGATTCAAACCAAGCCTGAGATAATGACCAATGTGGCCCTAATCCACCTCAGTGGGTCCTTAACAGCTGGCCTCCTGCATTTGCGGTCGAGTCATTCTGAACCCTGATATCAGAACACGCCGGAGCACTTTCCCTCTATGCTCTTACTTTCCTTGTGAGGGCACCAGCTTGATCTTTGTCAGAGCTTTGCTCATCCTTTTTCTCTTACTTTTAACTAAAAACTTTTGGCTGCAAATTCACACTTCAGTTTTACACTTGATCTTAGCCAAAAGGCCAAGAAGAGATCACGTTTCAGTTTTAATTTTCTTTACATTATTATTATTATTGTTAGTGTTGTTTCCATGAAACAGGCCAATATAGTCCAGACTCTTTTGGGGGTGTACTGGGGATACAACTCAGGACCTTGAACTTACCAGGCAGGTGTGGTGCCAATCAGCTACATCCCGGCCCTAAACTCTTGTGTCTGATGAGAAAGAACTACCATTATACACCTAGTAGTAAGTAGCAAGCAGCTACATTTATCGAAGATCATAGGAAGTTGTGCTCAGGAGAAGACTGTATCAACAGTAGATACGGCGGAGATAGAAAAAAGGCGGCAGGTTAACAGAAAAGGCACAGCTGGCAGCAGCAGTAACACTGGATAAAACCAGGCTTTTGGAATTTAGAGGACAGAGGCCTCCCCTTAGGTGCTCCCCCTGAATCTACAGGTGTGACTGACAGGAATGCTTGACAGGGTGCTATGTTATCTTAGGGGTTCTGAACATGCATGCACTCCCACAGTTCACTCTGCTCTTAATTATATTTATGACATGTAGTACATATTTATGAACCCGTAATGAGGTGGGAGTAGGGTAAAGGTGACTGAAGATCAGGCTAGGAGTTCCAACAGGCCCGTGCTGCTCTTGCCTAGAACATCTGAATGTTCCTGGGTTTATGTTATTTTATTTTCCACCTCTCTTAGGACAGTGGAAGCAAGAATGACCCTAGGGAGTGTTAAGAATTAAACAGAGAGATGGGGCCAGGGATTTAGCTCAGGGGTTCCACCTCCTGCCTTGCAAGCCCAAGGACCCAAGAGCGATGCCCAGTACCAAAAAAAAAGAATTAAATAGAGTGAACTGACTTGCTCTGTTCCATTGTTTCTAACTGTACTTACTAGCATTTTTTTGTTTTGTTTTGAGACAGGGTCTCACTATGTAGTTGAGACTGACCTGGAACTTACTATGCAGCCCAGGTTGGTCTCGAACTCACAGCGATACTCCTGCCTCAGCCTCCCAGGTGCTGGGATTACAAGCGTGCGCCATTCCGCACGGCTGTACTTACTAGTATTGCATTAAGGATTTAACCGGGCCTCACACCTGCCTGGCAAGCACTCTACCTCTCAGTTGCATCCCCAGCCCATGAATTTTATTATTTTTTTAAAAAAAAGATTTATTCCTATATGGTCAGTGAACCATTTGTTTTATTTTTGGAGTGTTGGGAGGAAAACCTTTTTCCTTTTCCAACTTGGGATCCAGAGTTTGGGAATTTTCACATTAGCTTAGAATGGAGAGATTAGCCGGAGGAAACACCAGGTTTATTCACGTGTACGCTCTGGAGTTTTGAGTTAAACAGTCCAAAATAAAGATTTGTGTATTTCAATTTAGCAAAACAAGTGAGGCGGGCTAAGGTAGTACTTAGGTTTTCAATGGGAGAGTGTGGAAGGTTCCATCGGCTTTTTGATGCTAATGTATATGCAACAATTTCTCTCCCCGGAGGCAAAGTACGCAGGAAACTGGGCGGGGGTGGCGCTGTGTTTTGGGGAGCTTGTATCTGCTTTAGTCAGATGCAAGAATTTTAAATAAGATTTCTTTTTGAGTCTTTTGAAGCTTAAGGGTTCTCACAAATAATTTTTTGATAGGGGGCGGTCTGAAATCTTGGATGCCTAAACTTGCCCGCCTGTAAATTCTTGTTATCAGGGTAGTAGGCAGGCAGTGGTTTGGGACACCCAAGTTGGCTTTTATAGGAAGACCAGAATGGGCTAAGAAGGGGGTTCTGAAAAAGCTCGCGAGAAGACTAAAGAAGAGAGAGTAACTATCGCTGTCCTTTAAGAGGGCTCTGCGGCGTGAAAGAGGATGCAAAGCGATGAGACAACTCGCTATCCGGGGGGCCGGGGGCGAGATTTAGGGAACCGGGGTGGCACCAGGCTTCCGTCTGATGGTCGTGTACGTTTGCTCCCGTTACTGCCTCGAGTGCATCGCGAGGAAGTGATCTCGAAGAGGTGGGATGGTGGCGAAGATTCACCCACGCGGGAGGGCTGAGCGCCCCGGATCAGCTCTTTCTGACTGGGTGGGGCGGAGAGCCAGAGGCCGTCTCGAGTGGCCCCCGACACACGTCACTCGCCTTCTCCAGGGCTGCTTATAAGAGTCTCCACCAGAGCCTCAGGATCACTTTTTACTTCCTCTTCTCTCCTCAGCAGCTTCGCGCGCTCAGCGGGGAACCTCACCCTGGTCAGTCCCGGAACCGAGGCAGGGGGTGGCGCCTGCCCGGGCAGTGAAGTGGTCGCCGCAGATTTGCTTGCGTCCGTTCCCCTTCTTCCTACCAGCTCGCCGTGGCCGCAAACTTTTACATCTGACCTCTAGACGGGTGCTATCTGGCCTCTGGACTCTAGAGGCGAGGGAAAGCGAAAGCGCTCAGCTGCCGAAAGGCGCCGCCCCGGGACTGCCTAAGTTTCGATTCTCGCGCGCCATGGCGGACCCGACGGTCTGCTGCTTCATCACCAAGATCCTGTGCGCCCACGGCGGCCGCCTCAGCCTGGACGCGCTGCTTGAAAAGATCGAGCTCTCCGAGGCGCAGCTCCTGGACGTGCTCAAGGAAGCCGGGCCCGACCGCTTCGTGGTGCTGGAGACCGGGGGCAGGGCCGGCGTCACCCGCTCGGTGGTGGCCACCACTCGAGCCCGCGTCTGCCGTCGCAAGGTCTGCGAGAAAAGTTCTTGCGACAACCTGCACCTCTGCAAGCTCAACCTGCTGGGCCGGTGCCACTATTCGCAGTCGGAGCGGTAAGTGAGCGGAAAGTGAGCGGGAGGGCGGCTCCCGGGGTCTTGTAGGGGGCGGACCGGGCTGGGGGGCGCGACCGCCGCCGCTGGGCACTCCCTGGAGAGCTGCCCTGTGTTCGCGCCCCCTGCGCCCCGGATTTTACTGGCCCAGGCGACACTTCCTGGCGGAGACTGGTCTCCCCTCTTCCCTTGTCCCCACCATGAGAATCCTAATAAAATACTTTTGGGTTAACCACGGCCTGGAGAAGGGAGAAGTTGGAGGCAGGTTTGCGGGCCGGAAGACCCCCAAATCCTCTGCCCCTAAGATCTTCAGTCTCCCTGGCTGCTCCCGCGACCCCTGGACGTGGGGCGCCCTCCCCGGCCTCGTAGGCACCCAAAGCCCTTCCGTGCTCGGGCGCAGGGCTCTACTGTTGTCCCTCGCGCCCGCCGCTCCGCGCCCAGTGATCGCTGGCTTTGCGCGTCTCTGGCGCCGAGCCTCACCCCGGGGCTCGAATGGTCCCCTCCAAGGCCACTGAAGATGTGGCGTCTCCCTGACTGCCTCCCTGTGTCTCTGCATGGCCGGCACCCTTGGCTACCCCTTCCTGGGACGACGCGGTGGAGTTGGTTTAAAATAACGCAGCTTGTTTATTTCCAAAGCATCTGTATCTGCGTCTCCACGGGCTCTTTTTTGCCCCCTAAATACAGATGTGTCCCAGCTTATTCCCTTGGATTGAGCTGTCACATCTACCAAGATGACTTCCAAATGTCTGTCTGCTGCCTAGATGGGTCGTCTGAATCCCGCCGCCCAATGCATCTCCACCGCAATTCCCAGTACAACAGGACTGGGGATTGAACCCAAGGCTTTTGCACCGAGCTACATCTCCAGCTTCTTCTTGATGTTTTGTTTTGAGACAGTGTTTTCCTAAGTCACTAATTTGCCCGGGTTGGGCTTGAATTTGGAATCCTCCTGTCCCGGCCTTTCTGGCTCCTGCCAACCTCTTAATCCTTCACCATATATTAATCACCAAGTACTTTTTGTGACGTTTCATTTCTTCTCTACCCCTTCCTCTTTCCCATCTGCTTCCAAATGAATGCTTTGATGAGTTAATGAATGTTTCTTTATCTTTCCATTATATTATATTATATCTCCATTATATTATACCTGGCCATTAGCTTTCCTTGCATCTTTTCAGTCTCACAGTCCCAACCTAGTTCAATTACTTTTTTCTTGATAGAGTCCTTTTTTTTTTGGTATTGGGGATCAAACTTGGCGGCTTTAGTTGATGAATACTTTTAACACCTTGTCAGTGCTTAAAAAGTAACTAGTGCCCAGTGACCAAACTGGTCATCAAATTTTGGTCGGGCACTTTGAGCAAAAAAAACTTCACTCACTCCCAATACATGTCACAAAGGAGACATATACTTTAGAAGAAGGAGGAGAGTCTTAAACTTTTTAGAGTACTTGCACGTGCTACCTTATTTAAATATTTAATGTTATGAGGCAGCAATTTTAAAGTCTGTTTCTAGTTGTTGGAGGAAACAGTGTCACTGGCAACTGAAGAAACAGGTAAATTACAAGAGGAAGAAACAGTCTAGTGTATTCTAGCACATTCTAGAACATTCTAGCTCGAGTAACAATAGGCTTGAAAGACTTGAAAGAGTTTGTAATCTTTTCCTGTTCTTATCTGTATTTTTTTAAATTTGTTTTTTGTTTTTTTATTTTTGGTACCGGGGATTAAACTTGGGAGGCAGGCAGTGGAACCACTGAGCTAAATTCCCAGCTCTGTTATGAAGAATTTTTCACCACATAGAATTGATTTCTCTTTTAAACATTTCAATTTTTCTGTTTTTTTTTTGTTTTTGTTTTTGTAATACTGAGGATCAAACCCATCCCTTGCATCCTAGGCAAGGGATCTATCACTCAACAACATCTCCAGCCCTTCTATATTTTATTTTGAGACAGAACCTTGCTAAATTGCTCAGGCTGGCCTCCAACTAGCGATCTCTTTGCCTGTCTCCTGAGTACATGAGGTTATACATGGCCTCTGTGGAGTTTCTCATCGTACCTGAAAGTAGCAAGAGGAGAAGATGGCTTCTTTGTACCCATAATTTTGATTCAGCAGTTTTCAAAATATGGCCAGTATCCTTTATTTATTCTGCCTTCCCTATTGCTGCTTGCGTCAGTATTTTATTTTAAAGCAAATCCTAGCAGTCATTTGTTTCAAAATTACTTTACTATTTCTAACAGATTAGGATTATATTTTATTAACATAATCACAATACCATCATCTTTATTTTTTTAAAATTTGTTTTAGTGTTAGAGATCAAACCCTGGCTCTCTTGTTTTCCAGGCAAATACTTATGCTGAGCTACATCACGGCCCAGTGATTAAATGTTTTAAAAAACATTATGATGTTATATTCTCTAATACCAATATTCAAATTTCCCTGTCTTACAAATCCAACTTGCATTTTTAGGGAAAAACCCCTACATAAACATAATCTATAATCATTTTTACTTATATGGAAATTATTGTAGCATTTTTTTTCTTTCCTGATTTGCAAACATCAAAACCATTTTAGCTGACATAGTAGTTTGGTAACCAATATTTTTCTGTAATTTAAAAGACTGTATATAATATAGGGATTATTTTGTCTGTGCAAGTTTCGATGGGCCCTCCAGATAATTTGGTAAAATTTTTTAGTGAGTTGATAAAAATCTTATTTTTTACATTTACTGGTTTAGGTATATTTTAAAATTTCTGTTTATATCACTTTTGAATTTGAGAACTAGAAACTTAATCCATTATAATAAAGTTTCCTAAAAAGTACCTATGGAGGGAATTTTTTTTCCTGAGTTTAGAAAATATTTTTCCCCAGGCACGCTTTTCAATATTCTTCCCCTAGCAGCTTTTATAAAAATTGTCTTAGGCCAGGTGTGGTGGCGCAAACCTGTAATCCTAGCACTTGGAATGCCGAGGCAGGAGAATCGCTGTGAGTTTCAGTCCGGCCTGGGCCACATAGTGAATTCAAGGCCAGTCTGAATTACACAGTCTCAAAACTAAATTAAAAAAACAACAACAAAACAACCTGTTTTCTTAAACTTGATACTTGTCGAAGGACTTTCTTAATGGCATCTGTTAACTACATAATACCTATAGTGATGTTACCAAGTAGTTCAGTAAAGGATTCCTGTGATTACATGGAGATAATTTGCATTTTGTTGGATTTATAAAACTTCCTCCACAGTGCTATTATTTATAGCATTTATTTTTCTTTCATCCCACAGTTTCTGTTTGATTTGCTTATTTATTGCCACAATACTTTGACGTGGACATTTTAATTGAAAATGGGGCTTTCTTAGGTGTTGTCTAATCATTTCTTCTGGTACATCGGTTTGGATATTTGTTTGCTTTGCTGAAATATATTCTCCACACGTGGAGTTCAAATCCCAGTTCTGACCCAAACAACAACTACCATTTACTAAGTAATTATGTGCCCATGGATGAGGGATGTAGCTCAGTTGTGCTGCACCTGCTTGGCAAGCACAAGGTCCTGAGTTCGATCCTGATACCAAAAAAAGAAAAATGTGCCCAGTTCCATGGAAAACAGGTTAGAGGTGATGTCCCAGTCAGCCTTTACCATAGTCTCTGAGTGTAGGCACCAGAAGTCTCATCTTCATGGAATAAAACTTGAGCATAGAGGTCTTTATAATTTGCTGAAGGTCTCAGAGCTGGTGGCTGGCAGAGTTGATGTTTGAATATGATCAGCGTGACTTCTGCTTTGTTTGTTTGGTTTTTGAGACAGGTTTTTGGTTTTTGGGTCTTGCTATGTAGCTCAGGCTGACCTTGATCTCACTATGTAGCCAGGCTGGCCTCAAGACTTATGGCAGTTTACCTGCCTCAGCCTCGCAAGTGCTGAGATTACAGGCATGTGCTATCATGTCTGGATCGGCATGACTCCTTAACTAGTTGCTTCCATTGTCCAGTTAACTGTATGAAGTGTGATCTTTAATTAAAAAAAATTAATTCTTTTTTTGCAAGCATGATTTCTGTTTAAACCGTTTAAAGTGGCCTAGCTTGAGTGTCTTCTACTTGCTTTGTGGTTTCTACCAATGTAGGTGTTTCCTCTGAGCCCTTCCTTGTTTGTAAAATTTTGCCTTTCTCTCTTGGTTAATTGAAACGTTGGGTAGCAGTGGGGAGATGGGAAGAGGAAAGTTTTGTAATTTTGGGGAAAAAAAAAAGCAGCATATGGTGGTGCATGCCTGTAATTCCAGCATTTGCGAGGCTGAGGCAGGAGCATCCTTGCAAGTTTGAGGCCAGCCTGGGCTACATAGTGAGTTCAAGGCCAGCCTGAATTACATAGCTCACTATGTCTCAAACAAAAAAAAGGTAATGCATAAATAATAATAGAGCATCATAGTATATATATTCTGAATATATAAAACTACTACAAAGATGATGTACAATAAGTTCATGATTCACCTTCAAAACAATGTTTACATTGTTCATATTTGCATCTTTTAAATGAAATTTAAAAATTGTAGTAGCCTCAGGATATGTTTTTGTCTTTCCCAGTCTCACTTCCCTCTCTCCCCAGAGGCAACTTCTTGTGATTTTGGTGTGTATCCTGCCCTTCCAGGTTTTTACAGTTTCTTCACATGTATATTTGTGTTCATATAAAAATGTTTTTGTTTTTGTTTTTTTTTAATACCAGGGATTGAACTTGGGACCTTGCACTTGCGAGGCAGGTGGTGGAAACGCTGAGCTAAATCCCCAGCCCTAAAAATGTTGGACCTAGTATTTTTACTTCGGAGAGCTATTGATGTTGATACATTAGGATCTAGTTTTGGTTTTGTTTGTTGTTTGTTTGAGGTAGGGTCTCACTATGTAGTTCAGGCTGTCCTTGAACTCACTCAGGCTCATTTGAACTGAATATGAAAATGAAGCTGCTGATCAGTATTTCCTCATTTGACACCCCAAACCAGTCACCTCGTCCTCAAATGATGGCTATTTGAGGTACTTT